CTTTACTAATACTGTACTATGATGTGCCATCAAAGAGACACAACACATCAAAAGATTGATATGTGATACTGGTGTTGATCCTGTACCAACAGATCAAATGATACGCCACTTCAAAATATTGAAGAGATAAAATGATAGATGAAAAATCATGACGAGATAATTCTAACATGTTTTATATTTAATAGAAAGCACTGCTATTATTCATATGTTTTTGTTTTCATTGGCCTATGGGACCGGTTGAGATTGTGTCCTATAAAGTCTGCCTAGCAACAAGCTACAAAAGAATCCCAGCAATTAAATTGATCTACATTACTGCTCGACGGCGAGTGTTCATGGACCAGTAGTAATAAAAGTTCCTGCGCATCATAATACCTAATATATTTTTTACTTATATATTTTTTTAATATGATGATGTCCACTGTCCTTTGTGTCCAGATGTGTTTCCATCTTCTTTGTGGAGTTCCAGCTGCACTTTGGGCGGGACTATTCCACCACGGCATGGATCCACAGCCTCATTGATTGCACCACGATGCTCTGTGGTAATGAAACACATCATTTTTTAATTGAATATCGATTTATAAATAAAGAAATAAACAAATAAATAAATCAGAGTATTGCCGCCTGCTTAATTCAGACATCATGTTTTTCCAGCACCTCTGGGTGGTTTCCTTAGCAACCGTCTGTCATGCAGAGCCACAATAATGCTAGGAGGCCTCTTGTCCTCGGTGGGTCTGGTGATCAGCTGCTTCGCTTCCAGTCTGGAACATCTCTACGTCTCGATGAGTATCCTAACAGGTACGTATGTCTTTGGGTCCCCGGCGTCATTGGTGTATTGATACAGTACGGTTAGCATTAACAATATCGCATACATAATATCAGTTTATACTGGTGTATCACTACAAATTATAGATTTGAAATATACAGTATATTTTATACTGGTTTACTGATACCAGACTGACAGTGATAATGATATTGCACATAAAAACAATCATGTGTTATACCGCACGGTGAGAAATAACGATACAACATATCTAAATATCGACTTTAATGCTGGTGTGTTGATACACTAACAGCGATGACAACATGATACGTCCAGAAATGTATATTTACTTTGGATTACTGTAGTATGTCCTTAATACAATACTGATGGTAATAGCACACATAATATCAATATTTTATGTGATGTATCAATACAAATGATACAACATTATCTACTTTGTTAATGTATAATTGATACTGGTGTATTGATATGCTACAAAAAATGATCACGATAGGACATCAAAATATGATTTAATACTGGTGTATTTGTACTGTACTATAAAAGTGAACAGTGTTGATATTTGATATGTATTTGATACTGCACCGTGAAGAGTAATATGATACGTCAAAATATCAATTTTACTGGTGTATTGATTGATATTGGATTGTGAAAATAATGATATAAATCAAAACTATCAATCTCAGTTGTGCATAGATAAATGTGGACTAACAGCAGTATAACAAAATATAGATTTTTGATATTGTTGCCTTGTATCGCTATTGTGTTATGAATGACACATGGAAAATATGGACATTTGATACTGTTGTATTGATACTGCACTCCTTTAGGTTTTGGCTTTGCTCTGAGCTACACTCCATCCATTGCCATGGTTGGCCGATACTTCAGCAAGAGGAAAGCTTTGGCGTACGGCATCGCCCAGTCTGGTAGGGGCCTTACTTTGTTACCATCCCTTTCCACCATCCCGCTCCGTCTTTATTGTCACGTTTTGCCATTCAGGCAGCGGCATCGGGACCTTCATCCTGGCTCCGGTGGTGCAGTTCCTCATCGATCAATACTCGTGGAGGGGGGCCCTGCTAATTCTCGGCGGCTTTGTCTCCAACTTGTGTGTGTGTGGAGCTTTGATGAGGCCGGTGGTTGAGATCGGCGATAAGCGAAGGTGGGATCACTAGAAATAGCATTATAACTGATTAGCCTGTGAGCAATTTGAATACCTTGAATTGAAATGAATCAATAACTCTGAAACACACATTGTGTGTCGTTACTGGATTGCAGGGATTCATGATATCAAATAAAAATGTTGATATGCGATGCTGAACTTTGGGCGATGATGATATAAAATATCTATATAAAATTTGCTTGTGGATACTCAGAGATATCATGATATCATATCTCAAAATATCTATGTTTGATATGGATAGCTACCTTACTAATTATATTAGCCCGCTATCTTTAACGATTTATTCTAGGTATGTATTATGAAACATGAATTTACTCTAATTGGTACATAATGCTAGCTAAATTGACATTGTGTGTTTTAACAACCACTACCCTCGTCTTAATGCCAAGCCAAGATAGCTGTTCCATTTTTAATGCGAGCACCTAATGCTAACTCGTGTGTATGTTTTCCTTATAAAGGATGTCTCACGAGTTCAACGACGCCAAAGAAGAAGTCAAAGAAGTCCCAGCAAAGACTCCAGTAATTGGCACCCTCAGCTACAATGAAGGACTCCTAATTGCTAACGAAGCGCTGAGAAACTGCCAGCTGAAGAACAGAGACCAAGCTGAGGTTAAAAAGCTAGCTCAGGCAAACACATTAGCCTTGTTGTCCAATGGCCCCAATGCCAGGATAATGGATCTAAAGCCAGCTGATTGCCTTTTACTTAGTAACACGCTCACGGGAGACACGCTTGGGGAGCTAGCCAACACAAAGCTGGTTAGCACCATGGAGAGTCATAGCTTTTGCAACAAAATGGCCGTTGCTATGATGGAAGCCAAGCATTCTGAACCTTTAGTGAATACTAAGGCCCCTCGAGGTCGTTGTCGTTGCTTCCAGCCGGGAGAGGACTTTGGATTCCTAGTATCCCCTGACTTCCTCGTTCTGTGCCTGTCCTTCCTGTTCCTGGCGTATGGATGTAGTACTCCAGTGGTCTACCTGGTTCCCTTTGCCCTCAGTAAGGGGGTTGATCACAAGCAGGCTGCCTTCATCATGTCCATATTTGGAATCAGCGGTATCGTGGGTAACGTTACCTTTGGTTGGATCACAGACAGGAAGTAAGTAGCGGCTGTACATCTTGAGATAATAATGTACTTGAAAGGATAATAATAGTACAACACATCTAAATACAGTATCGACATTTGATACTGGCGTCTTGATTCTGTTTCTATCATGTTGAAACATGATATTTGATACTGCACTCCGTGGTGTCCTTTGCAGGTGTCTGAAGCGTTACCGTATGCTGAGCTATATGCTAGCAGTAGCGGTGGAGGGCCTGAGCTGCCTGTGGGTTCCATTCCTCCACTCCTTCGTCCCGCTGACCATGTTCGCTGTGGTCTACGGCTACTTTGACGGCGCTTATGTGGCGCTCCTACCCGTGGTCACTTCGGACGCCGTGGGCTCCGCTTACCTCACCTCAGCCCTGGGCGTGGTCTATTTCCTGCATGGCGTGCCTTACCTTGTCAGCCCACCCATCGGTGGTGAGACTTGAGCGTTTTGTATTTCATATTTGTATGAATTTATCTCATTATAGATGTTGTTAATTGCTTTGTTGGAATTAATCAAATACTATAAAAAATATTGGTAAAATACACTAATGTAGATTTATCATTTTCAATTATGTGTTAATTATAACCGGTTAGTTAAGTATCAGGAATTATAAACAATACAATTTAAATACATGAATTATTATTTTATTATTGAAATGAACTATCTACTAATTTTAGATGCACATTTTTACTTAATATGGGATTCGTGTGTCTTTCTTCAGGTTGGCTGGTGGATGTGACCGGAACCTACACGGCAACTTTCTTGGTCAGCGGCGCTTCGTACATTTGCAGCGCTGCCGTTTTGGCCGTGGCCATGTTAGTCCGACGTGCCTGTCGGTCAGGACCCAAGGCGCTCTCCCCCGAACATGTCAGCACCTCCACTGTGTGTCATCAGGATGTCATCTAAGCATTCTGATGTGTAGTTTTGTTAACCAAACACTCACTTTTTTACGACAACTCTTTGAGATTTTTGTATTCACAACTGTGAAAGATAAACATACCACGCATCCAGATATGGATATATGATAACTCCTGTGTTGATATCGTACTGTGAACAATAAAGCGACGACATCAAAATATGTGAGGGTGGTGTTGATCCTGGACTGTGAGGAATAACGATACGGCAGATCAAAATCATTGTTACCGATGTACAGAAATAATATATCACATAAAAATTACAATGTTTGATACCTGTTTCGACTACTGCAGATAATACCGTTACAATACTTTATACAGGTGCACTGATACTGGACTGTGAGCAATAATGATTCAACATTTCCAATATTTGTCAGCCGTGTCAAGATACTCTGAGTGATGATGAATCAATGACACAAGACAACAGTGTACTAAAATGTGTTACTTTTGAATCAATGTCATACTGTGAGTGATCAGGCTTCAACATATCAAAGTATGTAATACCGATGTATTGATACTGTGGATTAATCATGCAAAACATGACAGTATCGGTATTTGTTTTGAGTGTACTAATACTGTACTGCATTTGTTGTATAAATGGTTTCACGTAACTATATGTATGCAGGTAAAAAAAGAAAAAAAAATATTCACAACACCAAACATGCCGCAACTGAATAAACACTGTCCGTATGTTGTGTTCACACTGTCCATAAATTGTTATTTTTCGGACTAAAAATTTTTTTGAAATATTTTTAGAAATTATGAATGTCAACACTGAAAGGGTTTGCCGACCAAATACAGTGAAAAGGATGGATGATTTGTTCCTCATATTGATTATCAGTGAAAATAATTTAAACAAAACGAAAATAATGTTTACTAATGTAATTTATTTTTTAAGAACAAGTTTTACTAATTTTATTTCACAATCTAACCAGCTATTCAAAAATGAATTACCCCCCCCCCCCATGCATTAGCTTGCAGTTATTATTTTGTCCAGCAAGTTGCAGTGTGCTCAAGCAACGGAGCTTGACCGCACTTGTGATGTCGTCACACACAATCGACCACCTTGGTTGGCGCTTACTTATGACGACATTGACGTCACGACTCGGGGGATCATGGCAAAATTTGTAATCGGCTAAAACACGCAAAGGAGAAACAACGTGAATAAGATCGACAGGTACATGTTTTAAAATATCACTTTGTATTACTATGTAGTCGTGAATGGTGTGTTTATAGTTTGGACGACATCAAACGGGCTCGCTAACTGATAGCTTACCATCAAATTACCTTATGAGAAATTGGCAGAAAGTAAGTAATTTTTAGGAATAAGTATTAGTTTCGTCATTATTCTGGTTGTTGTTATTTCGTCAAAAGTCTGCTTCCGAGATAGTTGGTGGTGGTCCTTTGTGTATTGTGTTGATTGTTGGTTGTACATAAAGGCTCCCAGCCAGGACACCTGTCAATCAAGCGATTAGTGACCACGTTAAGCGTCTTACTGCTTGTACGAGCGTGAAATTTAAATGATTGACTTAAAATGAAACCAGCATGATTAGACACCTATTTTAATAGACGATTCCAGTGATAAACATCCTTTTATTCTGACAAATATTAAGAACGTTATGACTCTTTAAAAGCAGTGAACATTTCTAGCCAACGTTTTAATGCAAAACATATGGGAATCCAAATTTTAGTTGTGAACTTTTTAGTTTTATCGAATCCGAGTTTTATCGTTAAATGGCTCACATGCGGCCACTTTGCAAGCTGCCTAAAAGAAGCTTTCGACTCTCAACGCTGTCATTATTTACAGTCACTACATTAAAGTGACTACTACCTTCACTACGTTGTGTGTGAAAGGCAAAGATGGAGTCCCGGCTCATCTGTTCAGAAATGATCTTTTTGGTGTAAAAGCTGCCAATTTTCTGCAATGCTGCTGCGTGAAAGTGCACACCGTGGCCTTCGGTGGGTTTTCTGTCAAAGGTGATAAATGCCAATTGCCAGACCGTCAAGTCTGCATTTTTTACATCTTCCTCCACCAACTTCTTTGTAAAAGTGTTATCAAAGAAAAAAAGCTATCTTGGATCTGTTGTAACCATTTCATTGGACAGCTGTGTTAGCACACTAATCTTTGCCGTCTTCTTCCTCCTCCAAGTGAATGAGTGAATGGAGCCAAACATTTTGACCTATCAGCACCCAGCAGCTCGCCCTTCATTGGATGATGAAATCAGGGTGGCGCAATCAGACGAGGAAGAGTTTCGGGGATTCTCTTGTGGCCTCCCCACTTCCGCTGATCCACTGTTCCACCTCAAGCGTAACTTACTTCGCCAAGGAGAACCGCCCGGTGGACCGGCTTTGCCCCTTACTAACGGCTTCTGCGAGTCCCCTGTGGGGGAGGTGGGATTCGCCGATTTTGCTGTGTTCGCAGAGCAGGCGACCCACCCATGGTGTTGCAGCTTCACGGGTACCACGACACCCTTGCATGAGCTGAAGGAAGCACGAGATGTCATCATGGACTCCGAACCAAGATCGTTTAACCATCGCCTCGATCTCAGGACTCAGGACAATAACCGAATGTCCCTTGCCCCCGAGGATCAGGACTGCCTCTCATCGGAGAGGCCGTCCGATGACTCTGAACCCTACATGTCCTCACTCGCCTCCCACGGGGACCACACCGATGATGATGATGATCACATGGTAGAAGATGGATGTGCCACATCTCAGGGAACGTGTCCTACCTCTAAGCAGTCCTCGCAATTTTGTGCCGACAACTCCGGGGATCCGCCAGGTCTCCCCCTGAGCGAAAGCTTTGCAGACTTCTGCTCGGCCACTACCCAGCAAGATGGCGCTGAAAAGTGGCCCGACTTTCAAGACCAAAATGACCACATGCAACAAGTAGGCAGCGTTCAGGTAGTCTAAGGCAGTGCTGCTCAAAATGGGCTCCGTGAGCGGTAACGTGGCATCCACAAAATAATTTGCAACGTAATACATCAACATCCTTAAAAATAAATAAATAAATAGCGAGCGCTCTAAGTAACACCATCATGACCAACATTAAAGTACAGTAGCATCGTAGTTCTTCTGTAACATCATGCACAGTTTGAACATTAACACTGTGTCTCAATGTAGGAAAATTGGACTACAAAGTTACAACTAGAGTGAGCCCAAGTATCACTAGAGGTACTAGTGCCACATGTTGAAAGTAACTGTCATATAATTTTGAAATGACTATTACTGAAGTTTAGCTGGGGTCCTTCTCTGCCTCTACTATTACTTTGCATCCCTCCCAGAAGACCTTAGTACTATTAAAAAAACAACAAAAAAAACCCAAATAACAGCAACAAAAAAAAAACTTTTTTTCAAATAAGTATTCATTTGAAATTCCTTTCACATTTAGAATCAGAATAACATTATTGTCATGTTTTCGCAGATGACAAGAAAAAAAATAGGTAGAAGGGAAAGAAAACAACCCCAGACTAAGCTCCTGTAAGGAAAACACAGTATGGATTTGGAAAAATAAACAACAACAAAAACTCAGCTAACAGGCACCAGTTAATATCTGACATGCAGACTGGCCATTTTGGTAACTTTTCTTTCTTGTCTGTCAGCTCCTCCAGGCGTCGTTTCCTGAGATTGAGGTCCCAGTTGTGAGCAAGGAAGAAGAGGAGGAGGAAGATGTGCCCAGCTTGGAGGCACTGCTGCCTCAACGTCGCCCTGACTATGCGGAAGACACAGTTGAGGGGTATGACAAAAAAAAGAAACCTTTTAGGAAAACATTTGGAATTGCGATTTGCCCGGTCACTTTAAATGGTGGCAGGTGTGTGCTGACCCCTGTTGAACATGAGTTTGAATGTGATTGGGTTGTTCTGAACAAAGCAACATCCTCAGTCATGAGGGTGTGCACACTTTTGCATCCACGTGATTTCAGTTACGTTTATATCCCCTTTTGAAAGAATCTTGAAATTTCTATTGAGTTGTACAGGTTAAAAGTCACACGAAAGGTGGGAAAAGTTTTGGAATGATTTATCTTGACCTTGATCTTTTTCAGAACACTAAAAGTGCCTTTTCGCATTTTTTAAAAATTTTTATTTGTAAACCATCTTTGCTATTATTTTTGCCAGGGCCTGGCCAGGGTTCTGGCTCCCTCACCAGGACGCGCACTGCGCTGCAAGCCTCAAATTCCGATGGGGCACTTCCCACACCAACAGGACTCTGCTCGGGTGTCTCGGCGTGGTCTCCGGGAACATGGTAAGTTCATTTCATTCCATCCAAATACTATTCCTACCCATGTCAAAATGGTACTTTTTTGTTTTATTTTCATACTAGGAGCCCAGGAAGGACTCTTACCCAGGACACACAGGAACCACATACAAGGCCCAAACACACACACACAGGCCTTTCAATCAACTCAGTGCAAGTATGTTGAAGCATTGATTTTTGATTAGTGGATGCCGTGCTCCAGTAATGGTTGTCTTTTTTTTTTTTTTTCTTTCACAGCAGAGCAGCCTAGGCCTTAGCAGTTCTCAGTTGGTGCTCCTCCTCTTCTCATTTTTCACAAGGTGTTCTCTTCCCTCAAGCAGAGGTTGGGAAAGTTGTCATGGAAGCACTGTGAACAGTGAAAAACGACAAGGCTTTATACGTTGTTTTTTTAATACATTACAATCTTTTCTGGGACCTGTGAATGATCCGGGGAATTATTTTCATGATCAAAAGAAACCACATGGCTGTGACAGAACTTGACAATGCAAACTAAAAAAATGGTGCACTCCAATGATCTCAGTGTTCTTTATGAACTTTAACAGGTTTGCGCTGTTTCTATTTATGTCCTATTTATTTATCAGTCCCTGTCCACTTAACTGGACAAGCATGTTAAACGCCATAGCTTCTTAGTTTTTTGTCATCAAAATGTTCCTGCATTGTATCATTGTAAATATTTTTTTCCATTCATCCATTCAACCTTGATGATTTGTGCCTTTTATATGCCACCAATTGCACCCCCCCTGCAAAAAAAAAAAAAAAACACCCAGATTATTTATTTTTATTTATTCTTTTTTGGGACCTGTTTGTCCTTGACAAATCTTGATATTTTTTTTCAGGTTTACTGCTTGAATCCAAATGGCATGCACTGCAATAAAAGCTGCGTATTGCAAAAATGTCAATACAGAAATAAATCAGGTAATAGTTGTGAATTTTTTACGCGTATCGACAACAGATTTACACCTTTATGTATGGGTTGCATTTTTCTGTGCCTCTTTAACCCTTTGTAGCCACAATATCTCTGCACATTGTCAAGGCTGAAAATCTGACGCAACATTTACGACCAGCACATTTTGGCGTCATGAGGGCCACCGTATTTCAATCTTCAAAGACCCAAAAGCTAGCTCCATAAATGAGTCTTGTCATACCTAGACTCTTAGAAATTGTCGACAGGTCACACTCTCGAGTCTGAAATTGCTAACAGCTATTTCCACTATGTGTGGCTGTTTTACCTTAAGGGACACTGTATCATTGTTAGAATTTTTGGTGAATTAAAAAAATATATATTTTGGGATAACAACATACAGTAATTCAATAGGGACTCTGAAATGGGTCGGCAGGCAAATCTGCCAAGTCTGACCATGATTGAATTTGAACTACATATCGGGGAAAGAAAACAACCCCAGGCAAATCTGCCAAGGCTGACCATGATTGAATTTGAACTACATATCGCCCCTTAATGGCCACTGTAAATTCGCAATTCTCAAAGTGTATACATTTTGTGAGGCTTTAAAAACAGAATTAGTCAAAACATAAAGAAAGAAAAACCTTTTCAACAGACTTGCTAGATTGTGTCTGAGAAAAAACGTCGGGCGTAAAAGCTACATTTTGTGAGTATCATGCAATTGAGAGAGTTTAGTAAATGCAACCAAAGCACATTTTGTTTGAATGTGGGAATCAACGAAAACTTGACAGTTGGAGCCAACTACAGTACGGTGCCTCAAATACTGTACATCAAATGTGATCCTTTCAGCCTACTGTAATTCAAGAAAATGTCTACTGTATGCATTATCTCCACATTTTGTGATTTTTTTGGGGGGGGGCGGGGGTAGATTTATTTGTATTATTTGGATTTAATAAACAAAATTAACACACAAACAAAACACATCCGCACACACTCGCACACGCACACGCGCACACACCGGATGAGCCCCCGTCCCTTCCGCCTCTTTTCGTCCGGGCTGGCGTGGTTTCCTTCCGGGCTTGCTGAAGAAAAGTTGCGGGGAGGTTTGAGACGACCGGGGCTTTCGACAGAATGGACAGCCAGGGACGGAAAGTGGTGGTGTGTGACAACGGCACCGGGGTGAGTTTCGAACCTCGTTCCGTCGTTTAGTTGAACCGTCGCCATTTTCACCGCTTTGAAAGAATCAGGAAGTGGAGCCTCAGTGCTAACTGGGCGTGTGGCTAACTAGCTGGGCTAATTTTCATTCATCCAGACGTGACACGGAAACCGCATTTAGAGACGTCGCTGTTATTTCCCCTCAAACTGAATCTCCTAGCGCAAACTCAGTCACACAAGGTTGGCCATCAAAATAAAATCATATCAAACGGGAGCGTGTAGCTATACAACCACTTGTACGACTGCAGCTAGCCACCTAGCCTGCTAGCTTTCCAGCTGTCTGTCTGCTGTTTTCCGATGGGCAACGGAAACCTTTGATGTGGTTTAACGTCACCTGAACGTCCACATTTTGCGAACTGAATATCCCTGGGCCAAATTCAAACAATTTTAAATCACTCGAATCCGACTTGTGATGAACATTTGAGGTTTTTCAGCAGGCTTTCAGCATAGTTGTCTTAGGCCGTGTCAGTTCAATTAAGGTGTAACCTTTTTTTCGTCCGCCACATTGTGATTTATTACTGTTAAAACTGCTGACGTAATATTTTCCCTCAAAATGCGTGTAATTACAATAAGCATAAGTCAGTTTTTTTTCGTATCGACAGAACCACCAGGAAGTGGTTGACTTGTTAAATCGTCACGTATTGTGCACGCACAGCAGCCCTACCTGCGCTTTAAGGCATATTTGAGCGCTTTATTTGCGTTAATCGTGTTGGCTAGTTGTAGTTTTGGTGAATTAAAGCGTCAGCAGTTGGCCAATTCGCATGATGGTATGTGGTTTGCATTACAGTACTGCGGTGTGCAGGAATGTCATATGGTTGACCCTTTCGCAGAAGAGACTTCCTCTTGTTGCTTGTCAGCATTGAAACAGGATGTTACAGAGCATTAAGCCTTAAAAAGACGTTTGTAGTACAACGTGTCATCTGTACACCCTTTTAGCGTTGACTGTCAGTAATTTTCTCTTCACTGCTCCGAATTTTTAAGTGTGTTTGGAAATGGAAGGAAAAGACAAAAACTTGACATATCAAAGAATCCAAATGCTGTTTCCTCAATGTTAACATGGAGCACTATTTTTAAAGACATTAAATATTTATAACATAAAAGAAGAAACTGGCTCTGAAAGTGCTGAACCTTAAAACGATACCAAAATCAGTCTCATAAAATATACTTTTAAAGATGTAGAATGCAGCTTTGAAAGTCCACACACCCCTTTTTAAATGGTGTTATTATTTTTTTTTTATATGCTCAGTTTCTTGTTGTCCTTTTTTTCCTGGTGCAATATGGCCTTCAAAGAAAATCTTAGCCTCACCCACACCCCACCTCCCTTTCATTCCCTTTTTCTCAAAACATCTTGTATGTTGATGTTCTTAGAAAAAAATGTTTTAAATATATAACCATCACAGGGTTTTTTTCTGGCTCAAATTGAGCCAGAGGTAGTCCCATCCTGACCATGCGACACAACGTCCATGTATACTGTAAATTCAACTGAGTCTCTTTCTTTTACAGGAAACATACTTAAGAGTTACAAGAAGAATATGACTATTATGTTAAAGCATTAATTTATTAAAACTTGCATTGGAGAATGATGGGTTCATAGCAAGTGTGGTGGGTCACTTTTGTTTGAGACACTCATCGATTATTTTGAAGCAGATACAGGTTGTCTTTGTTGTGATGCTCCTAATTGGAAACGGATTTACCGGTATGTCGCCGAAAACCCACGCATTTTTTTTTTTTAGATTGGTGAAACCCCAGTAATCATGGTGATTAATTAGTTTGAAAAAAAAAATCCAAACACACTTTAGAAAGCAGGCTCCATTATAGTAGTTGTGCTGTCTGTTGTGCTAAATGTCATGTGCTTAAGTATCCTCACAATTTCCTTTTGCAACTTTTTTTGTTTTGTAGTTTGTCAAGTGTGGCTATGCTGGCTCCAACTTTCCAGAGCACATCTTTCCCGCCTTGGTGGGCAGGCCCATCATCCGGTCCACGGCCAAAGTGGGAAACATTGAGATCAAGGTACACAACACCTCCTATTTATTCGTTCATGCCAATTAAAAAAAAAAACAAAGAAACCACCTTCATTCATGAGAGAATCCTTTATGTTCTCAACCTTCCACCCTGAAAAGCCACAATAAAAATTGATGATTCTGAAAAACTAACATTGGCAATACATGAAAAGTGCAAAATACAATAGTTATTACATTTAACTTCACCAGTGACGTATTATTGAAAATGTAATTTTTAATTGCTTGTATCACAAATATGTCTGTCTCATCCCATCAAGTGTGAAACGAAACATCCAAACAAATCTTTTTATCTTATTATTTCTCAAAATGAGTTGGATGCTCTTTTTTTTTTTTTTTTTTTTTGCCAAATTGTGATGTCATCAACCACATTTGTGTTTGGCGTTATCCCACACGTGCAGAACTGCTTCACTAATGGATTAATGTAATTACGGAGCTTGGTGATGAAGTTCTGCCTCCATGAGCGAAAATACAGATGGTGTCTATATGGGGGGGCCTGCAGGTTCACGCACATTTGTTTTTTTCTGGGTTTGACAAGTAGGCTGCCCCTATTTCTGCGTCCTAGTGTCTGCCAGCGAGCTCTTCTGTATCCGCCATTCCACAAGAAGTCGCTCACCTGCTAACAACCCCCTGACCTCCGCACCGGTTGTCCTGGCTATGGAATCCTTAAACACAATTGGAGTTGGCCTGCGGTCAAAGGGGGAGGATGATGGGCAGTGGCTGATTAAAGCATTTCACAGACATAGTTAGACCTCTGGAAAGGGTATTAAAATTGTGCAAAATATTGCGTAATAGCTACATTTGTGTCAGGACTTTTATTTAAATGTGTGGTCGTTCTTAGTTCATGTTGGCACGTTATTTCGTAGTTGTTCCTGTTTAAATTTGCTTATGCTGGCCGCCAGTATGCAGTTTTCTGAAAGTAAAAAGTATTTTGAAAATCCTTTTAAATGTATTAACTTTAACATCATACCTGTAAATAGTTAACTAGGTCAAGTTATGTGATTTTTCTTCCAAGCTCCTCTCACTGTTTACAAATCTTTGTTTTGTTGCTTTTGTTGTTTTATACACACAAACTTCCTCCTCCTCCAATCGTCCCCTCCCCCACCCCCCTCCCCGTTGAAGTAGAATTCGCACAAGATGGTGAGTGTTGGATGGCGTGTGCTCCCTTGCATCATCTTGCCTGCCTGTCATGATGTGACCACTTTCTTTGCTCTTTGTTCTTTCTACTCACACATTTGAAGGCTTCGTTTTGACCTCATGAACTCGGTGCGAAAGGATTGTTTGTATTTTGGAATGAGTGTCAGCTCGAGGTTAGCCAATTTCTAAAAATTCAATTCCATAATGTCCTAAGCCACTGAAACATGCACAGTTTGAACATCGTTTTCTTGTTAAATAATGATGCAATTAAAACGTATAGCGCATAAAAGTTAAATAAAAATGGAACCCCTAAACTCACTGAGTAGTGCTTCCTGGAAAGTTAAAAAAAATTATCCTTTGACACAGTTACTGATGAACACGTAATTGGCTGAATATGGTATGTCATAATAGAATGGATTAAAAAAATAAAAAGGTCTGAACACCACAAAAGAGGATGATAAAACAGGATGTTCGCAGAGAGAAGTGGCCACTGATGTTCCCATGTCAGTGTCATCAGGAGGTTTCAACAGAGATGCAGAGGAACTGGAAGAGTCACAGAAAGGCATAAGAAGTCGATGCCCTTGGGAATTTTCATAGTTCAAACACCTGTTGTGAATTTTGCCTTGCATTCAGTAGTTTAAGGAAGGTCAAATTAAATTGCCCTTTAAATCTTACCGTTGCGGATCACCCTAAAATGTCACCTACATTTTTGTAAATAGCTCATATTTTGAATGCCCGAAGACATTTTTTACATGACACATTACGGTATTTTCTACATCTGCTACATTTTGTTTCGACAGTCCGACACTCTTTAAAATTTTGAGACCACACGGAGAGATGTCAGAAATCAAAACTGCAAAGGATAAACTCATAAAATGGCCGCCATCATCATCATCATCGGTTAGAAAATTTCCAGACTTGATGTTGGGACTAGATTTAGTTGCTTCACACATCTGACGAACATCCCGGAAACAAAAAAATAAAGTATTATGTGCATGCAGAGTGATGGTGCATGCTGGAGAGTGTAGTGCAAAAGCAGACAGTTGCGTGATGGCATAGTTTGACTCCAGATGAGTTCCAACCTGATACTCGCAGTTTGCCCGGTTGTCCTAAAATGAATTTGGACTATAAAATTAAATCTGGGTCTATTCACCATTCTCCTTTTCAGGATTTGATGGTGGGGGATGAGGCCAGCGAGCTGCGCTCCATGCTGGAGGTCAACTACCCCATGGAGAATGGCATTGTGCGCAACTGGGACGACATGAAGCACTTGTGGGACTATACGTTTGGCCCCGAGAAGCTCAACATCGACTCGCGCAACTGCAAGATTTTGCTCACCGAGCCCCCCATGAATCCCATCAAGAACCGGGAGAAGATCATCGAGGTAGGCGAACGCATGCAATTCAGTTTTTTTTTTTTTTTCTTCCTGCGACGTAGCCGTTCGTCTCCCAAATTTCTCTTTACATTGAGTTGCAGAGGTTAGCGGTCACATAAATGGTAGAAAAGGTTTTGGGCTGATTTATCTTGGGCTCGACAGGGGAGTGTAGGCTTATTTTTATATACACCGTAAATTGGGGTCAAGGCGCCTTGGGGAGGAGCTAAGTTTAGCTTGGGTAATTAACGGAACACGTGACAGGAGAGTCTTCGCCGAGCTTTTACGGGCATTGTCAAAGGGGATTTATCTTATTTTAAAAAATGGCATGCAGTTTTGCAAAAACCCCACGATGTCAATATGCACACATGCCTGATATTTGTTTTGCGCCCTCTGCAGGTGATGTTTGAGACATACCAGTTTTCAGGAGTCTACATAGCCATTCAAGCCGTGCTGACGCTGTACGCTCAAGGTATGGACCGAAGAAATTCAGGGTTGAATAAGACTGTTTGTTTTAATGAGCACATCATTGTTTTGTGTGTGTGTGTGTGTGTGTGTGTGTGTGTGTGTGTGTGTGTGTGTGTGTGTGTGTGTGTTTTAACAGGCCTTCTGACCGGCGTGGTGGTGGACTCTGGCGATGGCGTGACGCACATCTGTCCCGTCTACGAAGGATTCAGCCTGCCCCACCTGACCAGACGCCTGGACATCGCCGGGCGGGACATCACCCGTTACCTCATCAAGGTGTCACTCTCCACACACCAGTGTTCAACTGCAAACATATACATTTTTAAGTTTGGTAATAAACTACATTTTTTTTTGAAAATGGAGAAATGCAGTCAAATGAGCAAATAAGGACTGTAACTTTTTACCTTTTTTTTTTTGATGTATTATCCCCCCAAACTGGGCAAATAGTTTCCCTTCTTCTTCTCACGGATGTTGGCGTTTCCCGCAGTTGCTGCTCCTGCGAGGATACGCCTTCAACCACTCGGCCGACTTCGAGACGGTGCGCATGATGAAGGAGAAGCTGTGCTACGTGGGCTACAACATAGAGCAAGAGCAGAAGCTGGCGCTGGAGACCACCGTGTTGGTGGAATCCTACACGGTAAAGTGACGTGGGAGCAAGGTGGTCTTTCTGGTGGTGTGTTGTGGCTGACTGGTTTGTGTGTTATGCTGCCCTCACATGGGCATTATGCGCAGTGCTACGGACACTGAAGCATCGGGCCTTCCTCATAGCTGTTAAAGCAAATTCTCAATTTTGCTGGATCCTCCTCATTTTTTCCGTGGTTATGAATAGAGGTCAGGAATTTGACCCTGGAGCCGAGAATGTTTGCAATTGAGTTTTGAGGGTAACGTGTCAGGTCCGAGAGAAGATTCTTCTTGGTTCAGGAGGTGCTTGATGTTTTGGTCTACAAGGCTGATTGCTCCTTTCTTCGAGGAGGAATATATAAAAATCAACCTTATAGAATTTGTATTCAGGAGGAAGAGAAGACCGTTCTCAATGTTAATGCTTTCAAAATGTCATGGAACTTCTGGGGCATGTTCCGAAAAGGTTTGAACTGTCTCTAATTTCATGACTATAAGAACTAAACTAACTCAAAAGTTACTGCAACTGAATATAGAAATACCACAAATGTCACAACCTGAAAATTAAGTAAAGTGAATAACACGTAAAAAAAAAAAAAAATCAACGTTTTGATGTTAATTGACAAGCAAGCGTAAGACCACTGACCTAATGGCTGGTAAAAGCCTGCTTAGTCTTTCAACCTCTTCAGGTGGCGGCCTGTGGTTGAGTTGACTTTTACACCTCCTGAATTATTAACCCATGTTGTCCTTCTTATATTAATTCATTATTCAATAGATGGACTCCTATGCACAAGTCCAGCTGCTTAATGCCACCCAGTGTTACATTTTATTTACAATTGATTCAAACTTATTAAAGTTCAATTTTGTGAGTGTTCTGGATGTGATTAGAAATAGTCCGGGTCATATACAAAAAAAAATAGGAACGTTTGTGATGTGTTCAACATAAACGCAGCTGTGTTTTTTTTTTTCTTTCATAGTTTGACAAGCAGCATATTTGTAGCCCGGTGTTTACCCATTGGATGACTCGTGGCCCCTTTGCTTAGAAGCACAGCTTTATATAACAAGCTTGTACTCTTAAATTAACGGGCTTTGTTGCGGGGGCCGCTGTAAACTTGAGATTCAAACATCTGGTGGTCGGCGCGGTGGTGCTTGTCCGCCAGCCTTGCTTTTCTTTCCAATGTCTTTTTTTTTTTTTCCTTCCTCCCTCCCTCCAGACCCACAGAATTCAAAACCATGCCTTGGCCAGCGAGTGTTGTGTCTCTGAGCTCAGTTTGTGTGTGTGTGTGTGTGTGTGTGTGTTGTGTGTGTGTGTGTTGTGTGAGAGAGTAGAAGAGTGCGCTCGTGTGTGTTTGGGTCCCCTCGAAACAAGGAGAGCAATGTGAGAGTGGCCCGTGGCATCATTTCCTGGGCAGCCACCTTTGCAGCAGCAGCAGCAGCGGCGGCTTCCTATTCGCTCAATGAAGCCTTTCTATAGAGATGCACACATACACACGTACTTCTACAAGTTGTGCTTTAGCGTCAACATTGTGTGTTTTCGTCTGCCTGTTCTCTCATGCGCGCGCATGCGTTTTCATGTACCTGTTCCAGTCTGTGTGAGTGCTCTTGTGTGTTCTCAAGCGTGTACATGGGTTGTTTTGGAATTGTAGTTTACTTTGTTACACAAAACTGAGTGACGTTTTTTTTGGGGGGGTCTCGCGTTCCGTAAGTATGCCATACATTTGAGGATTGATTGCTTGAAATCTCTCGAAATGTCACAAAAAGTTGCCAGATTTGTCACAAAACGTTGCCAGATTTGTTGCAAGGCACATCTTTGAAAAAAAATTGTTAAGATAGAGGTTGCCAAGTTTTCATCCCCACACCCAAGCTCTGGTTGTCACGGTAACGAAAGCCAGGCCTGGCATTTGCGTGAGTGTGTCACAATACATCTTTATTGATACGTCAAATTGATTTGAGTCTTCTAAGTTACGATACCACTGTATTGATATTACACTGGCTACCTTTTACATTTGCATGACTGAAAGCAGTACCTGTAGAGTTCCTAAAGCTTTTTTTCCTGCTGGAATTCTGTTAAAATGGCTCCCCCCCTTTTCTTTTTTTTCTTTCCTTTCATGTCCGTCCTCCCTCCCACGCGTCTGCAGCTGCCAGATGGCCGTGTGATCAAGGTGGGCGGCGAGCGCTTCGAGGCGCCCGAGGCCCTCTTCCAGCCGCACCTCATCAACGTGGAGGGCGTGGGCGTGGCCGAGCTGCTCTTCAACACCATCCAGGCAGCTGACATCGACACCAGGTGAGGGGCCGGGCCCGCGACCGGCGCTTCCTTCCGTACCTGATACGACGGAACATTTTGAACAAAAATTCTTTTCTCACCAGGCCCGAGTTCTACAAACACATTGTACTGTCGGGGGGATCCACCATGTACCCGGGGCTGCCCTCGCGACTGGAGAGGGAGCTCAAGCAGCTGTACCTGGAGCGTGTGCTCAAGGGGGATGTGGACAAGCTATCGGTGAGAAAATCACTTGTGGTTCTGCTAAAATAACCATTAGAGTCCACAAGCCGGAGTACAGCAAACTTTTGCTCAGACCCACTGTGAGTAATTGAAATAATTATGGTTGTAATTAACTTTATTGATAATTTAGACCCTAAATATAACAACACCAGCATACCTTTCAAACACATTGATGCCTCCTGTGCACGTTGAACTGGTGCAGTGCCCTCCCCTGCCAGCAGGTGATGCCCTTTGTCCAATGAGTATAGGAATTGGTGTATAGCTGGTGATAAAATAGTTGTTTTGTAGCCCAAGTAGTAACATCTAATTAGTTCAGTGCATAAATAAGTTGACCACTGTTCATGTTAAACTTGGTAAAAAACACATTACAGTAATCCTGTAAAGCAACTGTTAACAAGAAGGTTACCACCTTAAAACATAAATCCTTTAGGTAGAAAAAAAAAACACTTGTTAAAAACAACTAAAACAGTATTTAATTTGGGGGAGTCCATGGTGGTGTATAAATAATTTAACATGTAAAAACAATACACTCAAAAACAATGTTAATTGGGTTTGGGTGTAAAAAAAAAAAAGGTCAACACTCTTAGTGATGAGTAAAACTTGACAAATTGGACAATATTTTAACAACACTCTCATTTCCCCTAAAAAAAAAATGCTTGCTAAAATGCCAAAGAAAAAGCACACCTTGGCTTGAGGTCTCGTTTTTGTCCAAATATATGCTAATTTGTTGTCTAAGCATCTCAGCTATGTATTTTATAGAGTTGCAAGTCTCCAGTATTTACAGAATCACATATTCTACGTATAACCTCGATTAGTGACATAATCAGATTAAAGTTGATTTGCTTTGTTAAACAACAATACAAGACACTATTTGGATGTGAGGTAGCCGAATTAATATTTCCGTTCACTTGGGTCACCGTCTTCGCATTCTTCACTGTACTATCTGTGACTTGAAAGGCCTCGCCCGGTGAATGATATGTGTGCCAGTTGTTTGCTCAGCTTAGTCAGTCTGCACGTTGGGTGGCCATAAAAGATCGTGCATAAATGTTTTACAAGCACATCATTTCTTTTCTCCAAATATCACTTAAACTGTAACTGTTTGTTACCGGTCATGCGTGTTTGGTGTTTGCAATAACAGAGAATCCTGTTGTGGTACGCATCGCACTTTATGTGAAACAACCCAATTTTGGACATTCTCTGTCTTTTACGGAGAATCGCCTCCTGGCTTGCCACCATAGCAGCAACTTTTTTCTACAACCAAAATTAACATTTGTCTGTGGAGACAAATTGTCCCTTTGATGCTTCCGTTTTTTTTTCCCCCCAATGAATTTGGTCAGCACGTTAATTCATAGTGGTTAGAGTAGCATAAACAGGATAACTGAGCTACAATCAGGGATGGATCGGTTTGAATCCCCCTTAAGTTTTGTGGCGATTTCAAACCGTGCCGTCTCCTCTGACGTGGATACTTGCAAATCAGGAAGTGTCTAACGTTCACTTCCTGCCTTTTTTTTTTTTTTTTTTGTAAACAGAAATTCAAGATCCGCATCGAGGACCCTCCCAGGCGGAAGCACATGGTCTTCCTTGGCGGGGCGGTACTCGCCGACATCATGAAGGACAAGGACAACTTCTGGCTCACCCGCGAGGAGTACCAGGAGAAGGGGGTGCGCGTTCTGCAAAAGCTGGGTGTCACCGTCAGATAAAAAAAAAAAAAAAACACAACATCCTCCACACACACACACACACACACACACACACACACACACACACACACAGGAAAACATACACACAAAAAATATATCTATTTATCCTTCTTCTCTTTCCCACTGTCGCCTTTCCCCTTTCCCGCTTTAATCTTTCCTAGCAAACGGTTCCATCTTTTTTGCACAATTCCCATATAGCGTTTAAAAAAAAAAGGTTGATGTCACCGTCAATTTACCGAGAAAGTCGGGGACATCTTGAAGGGAAGCCTACAAGTTTTTTGATATCACAATCAGGGTCCACCCAGCATTTTTTTCCCTGCAACTAATCACATTTTTTATGAGCAATTTGTTGGGTTTTTTTTTCTTTCCGGGGAGAGGGATGACTTTACTTTCTGTCATTGCGTTTTTGCCGTTTTTTTTTTTTACCCTCTCCTTTGTTGCAGTGCACTACTACCATTGTAAATTGAGTGTAACCCTGGTAACAGAAGTTTGGTTTTAATGAAGTTGAACTCTCGTCAAAGCAGCGTTTTCCCCCCCAAGTTTGGGTGTCCTTCCTCGGAACGGTGGCGATGAAACCCAAATTTGTACACAAGTCAGAACGCACCCGTTGTCATTCCAAAAAGTATCTTGACGTCAAACACTTGTCAACCATATTGTAAAACAATGAAATACTAAATATGTCGTATTGGATTAGTTCATCTGCAGTCATTGATAACTTTGAAACATCCTGTGTCGGACGCTCATATATTGAGAAAGCCAATTCACAATTTTATAGATAATTTATGAATAACAGCAACAAAAACAGCAATAATACTACGACTCCTACTAATTATTATTATAAATGAAAACTAAACCTATTGTCAGTCATTTGTTCAAAGCCCGTGCTTGTCGAGACTTGGTGAACGAAAACAACATCCTGAGAGTCTCAGCTTGTCGAGAAAGCAAATCAAATTTGAGGAACTGTGGTCTTAAAAACAAACAAACAAAAAAAAACATACGTACATGTTAATGGATCCCCAGAAGAGACGTTCTCGACATACAAGGCTTCGAGGTTACGCCTGTGCAACAAGCTAGTGGTGAGCAGCCGTATTCAACGCAATACGTATTGTTAAGCTATGCTAGTGCAATTTTACAGTTGTAAAGACAGTATTTGTATAAATACGCTTCGAGACCATAAATATCACATCAAAAACAAAGTATGTCGTATTCAAGTAGTTCATTGTGCAGTCATTCGTCATCTCGAAACAACATTTACAGAGGACATTGTGTAATTTGTAGTTTTATCGCTAACTTAGCCATCGATTTCAACCATTTAACGACAGTCCCGATATACCACATTTCGAGGTTATGAATCAATCTGTAGCGAGCTAGTAGCGACCAACCAAATTTGACAAAACCCGAATTTGTAGGAACGTGCTGTATTCTTTTGCTCTGTTATGCGAATGCTAATTCTAGTTGTAATTACGGTAAATATTTGTACAAAAGTCGAGAGAGCCCAAACAATATATAATCGTATTCTTACCCTGCTGTGCTAACAAATCCATTAACCTACCATTTGAAACATCTTAAATCAGTACAGTTGTAAACATAGAACCCTCTGTACATTTTTGTGAGCCGGCCTGCTCGAAACATGTCTTGTGTTTATTTCTGCCATTGAAACGGGGCGTTATGTTGTAGTCGGACAATAAGCAGAGCTGCGGTGTTGTTGGATGCACAGCTTAGTCACATAAACGCTACGGCGAGCCCTCGGTTTACATTACCTGAAGTGGTTTGCAAACCAGGACATGGAGTTGTCTATTATAGGAACAGGAAGTACGGTTGTGACTGAGCGTAACGGCGGCTAACTAGCTCCTTCTTCCGTCGTTCGAAACGTTGCATGTCTGGAGCGCCGTAAACAGAGTATCAAGTTTGCAAATGTATTCCCAAAAGTGACCCCGAAATGGTGTGGCACTGGCTCCTTCATAAAAATGTACGACCCCATGAAAAAAAGTTGCGTTCCGGGAAACTCTGTCTTAAAGGAGCTCACACACAAAATGAAAGACAACAAAGAAGCTTGCTTTGACTTATTTTGTGTGATGGTACTTTTCAGCGTGAGGGGGTGTTAAATATGCCTTAGTGTTGATCAAAAAGGCCTGGTGTTGTATATTTCCTCAAAACATTGAAGGTTTAAATGAAAAAGGCTTTCTTTTTTTTTTTTTTTTCTTTCTTTCTTCGAGTCCCCTGGCGTGACCTAGAGGCACTTGACCATGCTATTTTTTTTTTTATAATGATTTTTGGATTGTATATTTTCTTTTCCTCCTTTTCCGTGGATGTCTTATCCAGTGCCAAGTGCAGTTCATGTTTGATTGTACGTCTATGCTCGAATTTTTTTTTTCTTTTCTTTTGTCGCCACCATTTTGTTTGGACACTGTTGTTGTTCATAGCATAACTGCCTAACGCTGATTTAAATAAAGAAAAGTGATTTATAAGGATGCCTGGCTTGCTTATTATTAGTCCTCTTACGTTTGACTATCTGTAGTTCCATCTGTCCATCATTCCTCTCTTCCAATTCATCCATGCACCACCACCCATATTTCAACCACCCATCAATAACATCTTTCATCCACCCACCACTCACTACATCATGTTCCATCCATCCTTCATCCACTCATTCACTTTCATCCCATCTGTCCCCTGATTTGTTCTGTCCATCATCTATCATTCTACCCATCCATCTCTCAGTTCATTTTTCCATCCATCCTTCGAGTACTCACTTTACACATCACTCATTTCATCCATCCATCTATTCCATCTGGCGTCACTTCCATCCTTTATCATTCATATAATCATTCCTCTAACCCATCTTTTGTTTACTCTGTCATTTGTCCATCCATCCATCGGGTCATCCATCCTTTGTCCGTCTCGCTCGTCCATCGTTTCATCCACCATTTATCCAGCTATTGTTCATCCAGCTATTATAAGGCCTGTTGTCCATTGTCCAACTAAGATTCCATCCAAGCTTTATCCATCTATCTCATTCTGTTCATCCATCATCCATCTATCCCCTCTATTGCTCCATCTATCCTTCAGTCATCTGTCACTCTGGCCATCCATCCCCTCTGTCGTTGTTGTTCACCCATTTTTTTTTTCCTTCTATTGATCCATTCATCCTTTATGCATCTACCCCTTGTATCGCTTCATCCATAATCCATTTCTACATCTATCGCTTATCTATTGTTCTGGCCATCCTTCATCCATCTGTCCTATCATCCGTCTATGTATGTACCTGTGTATATATCCATCTATTGCTTGCTAGATATTGAAAGTAAATGGGTGGAGGAAGAACTGGAAGAGTGGCGCCAGCAGAGGAAGAGGGTGTCTTTTCCTTGTCTGTGACAAAATAAAAAAATAAAGCCCTCTCCGGCCTTGGTTCCATTTTAATCCCTCCACTCCCGCCGCCACTTCCCCGGAGGCCATGACCTCTTACCTCCCGTTTGAAGTTTCCCTATCCTCACAGACAGGAAGCGAGGAAGGTCATTTGGCACTGGAGTGACTTGTCGGCTATTTTCATTCTGCGATGGCATCTTTTTTTTTTTTTTCCCCCCATCATCTGGAACACAAAAAGTCATTGGTGTTTCAAACAAGCTGGTAAGTGTTCCTTTCAACCAGAGAAGAAACACTTCTTTCAAAACAAAAAAACCCCGTACAATTTCACGGACAAATTACATGTGTTGCTAAAGCTCATGACACGCTCCATGAACCTCAGGAACAAGTGACTCAATACTCGCTTGTATTTAATGTTTGTATCTTTTTTTTGTTTGTTTGTTTATTAATGAAACAAATGCTTGCCTTCAAGGAGAAAAATACAAGACTTATTTGTTGTTTATAAAGCAGGGTTTGAAAAACTCCATTCAAGCACAAAAAATACATGTTAGCTAATGATATTTCAAATCTGAAAATGTTTACATTAAAGACTTTCACTGAAATGACGACGGGGTAGTGAACGTCACCCGTTAAAAAAGACTGCACCGTGCATATTTTTTATTCATTTATTTATTTATTCTAAAGATGCCAACACTATGAAGAACACACGAGTAACATAAGGTAATGATGTAATAGTTGGACCAAAATATGGTTCATTTCACGCTTCCACGAAAGCTATACAAAAAACAGTGACGTCATGAATGATTGTGGAGAAAAAAAATTGTTTCAGCAAGTTTTTTTGTTTTGTTTGGGGTTTTTTTTATGCCCCAAAGATTGATGGTAACGATGATAGTGATCAGTTATCTTCATGAAGGTTAACATTTAAATGCCAAGTGTCATTTATTTATCCCAATTTAAGTTTGTGGTATGACGCCATTTTACTGATCGAACGTTATTGGTAGAAAAGGGTCAGATGACTTCCCTGATTCGGAAAGCCCGCGCTATCAAAATTGGAGTTCGCTGGTACAATGTACACAAATAGTTTACCCGTTCACAGTTTATCTAACTAGCTACATATTCCACAACAAATCCAGTTAAAATATTTCTGAGCCATTCAGTGGATGTCAAACTGCAGAATAAAGACCTATGAAGGAGAAAGGACGTCAACTTTACCTGAAGAGACACAGAACACTCCTCCGTAAGTACGTTTGAGCACAAACGGTGTCAGTGGCACATTTTTTAAGACATTGAAACCTCAACAAAAGTACAATGTACACAAATAGTTTACCCGTTCACAGTTTATTTAACTAGCTACATATTCCATAACAAATCCAGTTAAAATATTTCTCAGTCATTCAGTGGATGTCAAACTGCAGAATAAAGACCTATGAAGGAGAAAAGACGTCAACTTTACCTGAAGAGACACAGACCACTCCTCTGTAAGTACGTTTGAGCACAAACGCTGTCAGTGGCACATTTTTTAAGACATTGAAACCACAACAAAATGGCGAAACAGTATTTTCTTTAAGGTATGTTTGTATGTATGTATTTTTTTTTCTCTTTCTACAATAACAGGTAGGTCCACTAATTGCCAATTGTGTCGTTTGTCGTTTCATTTTCATGCTGGTTGATTTATTCGTTGTTCTAATTTTAAATGGCGTTTCCCCCCCACATATTTAACATTGACAACGTAAAGTAAGCCATCATAAACTTTAATGTATGGCAAACAATTTAACATTCTAACTAACTACAATTGGAGGTGTTGTTGACTGCTGTATAGTGAAAAAACAGAGTTTACAAGTCTAAACAATCCATATCTCGTCTTTGTACTATATTCAGTTAAATATCAGTTGAACGTGATTTGCAAATCATTATATTCTGTTTTTATTTATGTTCAAGACAACGTCCCAACTACATTGGAATTGGGTTTGTTCAACTAGAATAAAGTAAAACTACTCACCCATTCACTCATTGAAGACAGACATGAATTTTACCCAGTGGCGATCTCGTCACTTTTTGCGCGTTACGTCACAGCTTTCATAGGAATGCCACATCCACCTTGTCAGATGGCAAAATAACTTTGTGCCTAGTGAAACCGCTGAAACTCCTGCAAAGCATATAGTCCTGTATTCATTTATATAAGCGATTATCTTTTAAAATGGTCATATCTTGCTGGGTAGTCGGACGTAGTAATAGACAATGGTGTAAACCAAATTGGGCTTTTTATCACACACCCGCTGATCAAAATAAAAGACACCGATGGAGGGGGCAGCAATCAACCAAAAGGAATGTCAGCCCTCAAAGTATTTGAGGATTTGCATTTTTACAGGGTGATCAAAAATGAAAACACTATCTGAAATCATCCATTCCCCACTAAAATAAATGGAAGTGGCATAATCCATTCCATTCCAGCCCCCATTTAAACCCAACAAAATAATTTGTAAAACGTTTAACGAGATTTAACAATATCTACAAAATTGTACTATAGAAACACATACAGTAATATCTTAATTAAATATATTGTCAAGAATTAAACAGCCTGTGCATCATGAGTTTGTGCTTCAATACATTTTGCGGCTCCTTCTCGGGTTTGTTCAACTAGAATAAAGTAAAACTACTCACTCAATACATTTTGCGGCTCCTTCTGGCGTGTGTGTCACAGTATAATGGCGTCATTGTTGTGGAAACCTCCGATTTCCAAATATGGTCATATTCATTTCTGGATTTGAATTTGGGTAGTAAATTCAGATCAGTCCTTCTGCTCGTGTTTTGGCCAAGAGAGAAGGCCTGAAAGCAGACTTCAGTCTTGTCTTGCTGATTTTAAAGTGTATTTTAAGTCACTGCCTATCTTTGGACACGCAGCACCGTGGCGGAGAAACAAAGCGCTCGCAGAGGGGCCACATTGACCCTGTTCTGAGCGCAGCTATCTTAAATGTTTGCACATGTGCGCCGCTGTGACTATTTTTTTTTTTTTTTTTGCATCCTCCAAGCTGGAGCAGGCCCCCCAAAAGCCCTGCGGGACCCTGGCTTTTTTTTTTTCTCTCTTTTCTCTCTCCAGAGCCTCCTTACTCCGTCATTATCGCCCACATGCTTTTTGCAGAGACATCCTGAGCTTGAATGGCCTCTCGATGGCTATCACATGTTCCTGCTGAGGAGGGGAAGCAGCTGGGAAGGAGAAGAGTTTTTTTTTTTTTTTTTGGACACATAAGGAGTTGTAGGAACTTGAACCTTGAAACATTTGGAAGAATAGTTGACTCCAGCTTTGACATAAAAAAAATAAAATAAATAAAGTGTCTATATTTACATTGGCGCCTTGAGTTACAAGTTTAATTTCAGAGACCGCACTTGAATATCAAATCACCTTTCCTTATTGAAATGAATGGAAATGCCGTTATTCCGTCCCAGGCCTACATTGTGCTTCTGTGGTGTGCGTGTGCCTTTGCGACCTGGAGATGGTCACAGCTCTTAGTAAGCTGCAATAATATGAGTCATTCTTCACAGCTGACAAATAATATATACCCGTGAGTGGCGTTGTTGCACCATTGGTGTTGAAATATCCAAAAGGGTGATGATGACACCCAGACTGCTATTCGTTTGTATAGCACCGTCTCTAGCATTCTGCATTGTGTGCATTAAGCTAGCGAACATTCCAAAGGCAAGGGTATGAGACTGTTTTGAATACACATGTCATTCTCTTTGTTTTATGTTTCGATTGAGAGCAAACTTCAACTGGTCATGGCACTAAACAGCTTGAATCACGCAGGATAAGCTAAAAAAAAAAAAAAAAAAGCTAAAGCCAGACATTCAGAAAAGAAATCCATGCAAAAATTATTGTCACCTTATTGGATTATCCGCCTTTCTTGCATAATGTACCAGAGACTTCAGGCCCTAGTTGAAAGTGGAACCTTCTAGCACTAGGAGGTCAATGCTCTTTGAATATTGATCCTGTAGTGCAACCTTATGATCCTCTTTCTCTTTTTCGTACCTCAGAGGAAGTAAGTACCTTCCTATTGACAATCAGCAGACAGTTAAGATATGTTTTCAACATTTTCTTTCCTTTTATTGGCTGCCGTAGGCAAAGACACATTTCATCTCAGTTTTTCTCACAGAACCGACCACCCTCACACCCCCCCAACACACACACACGCACGCACACGCATTATCTACAAAGTACTTCCTGTTCCTTCTCAAAAAAAGCAAGAGCTGCATCCATCGTACGCCAGTTAGAAACAGTTATTTAAAAATAAAAATGTACACCTATATACTGTGTGTGTGTATATATATATATATATATATATATATATATATATATATATATATATATATATATCAAATACCCACACTGTGTTTATATATTATATATACTTATATATAATATAATGCTTTTATGTGTTCTTGATGTTTCTTTTTTTACTGAGGTAAAAATACTAAGCGTATAAAAATGTGTCCGATTCAAATACAGGGAGTCATTTCTTTTTCTAATAACTTCTCAACTTTAATATGCGGCAGAAGAGACGATGCGTTCAGGCACTTGTAAATTGGCTCTGAAAGGACACACAAAAGAGTGGACGGAGAGGAAAAAAAAGACAAACGCACACCGTCCTATTCTGATTGTCTCTCTCCCTGATGTGTGACACCACAAAGGGGATTTTTTTTTTTTAATCACCGCAGATGCAACGTCAGGAGGTAAAAAAAACACACCAAGGACGCAAAAACACAGGACGTGCGAGACGGACTCAAGGTAAAAGGACATCCTCAGCCATTCTGGACTTCAACTATAGTAGGTGACATTTCCTTAGCACCACAATTGGGATGGGAGCTTTATTTCCTAGATTTTAGTCGGAAAAAACAAACAAAAAAAACAACACCTTTGTCCTTTTAAACACTATAGATATCTTTTTTTTTCTTTTTAAATACACATTTAGGTGAAACCTTTATGTCAAACTGATTCCAGCTTAGGGTGGAACAAAATATTGCAATATCAGTACAGTGTAGATATACCAACATTAGATATCAAATACAGTATCAATATACCAATATTGGTGCAGTACAGAAACACTATTATATCAGTGCTGAATTCATACACCGTTATCAGATATCAGTAGAGTAAATATCAGATACCAGTAAAATATAGCTATGCCAACATTGCGTATCAATTCAGTATGGATATATAGATGTTCTAATATCAGATATTGTGCAGTATGGATACTCAAGCATCAGTTATCAGTACTGTATCCATACGCCGATATCAATACTGTATCGATGGACCATTGTCAGGTATCATACTGTATCAATATGCTAATGTCAAGTCAGTGCACCTTCGATAGACCAATATAAGATATTGATGCAGAGTTAATATGCCGATGTCAGATATTGGTATAGTACAGATACGCCAACATCAGCTATCAGCGCTGTATCAATATTTCAACATCTGCAATTGGTGCGACATCGACACACCACCACCAAATATCAGATATCAGTACAGACTATTATAAATACGCTAACAATAGTTATCAGTACTGCATCGACATCGCATAATGGTACAGTATTTATACACCGATATCGGGACTGTATTGGTACGCCAACAATAGATATTGATGTTGTGTATGTGATGTATTTTTCTGACACCAAATGTCTTTTTTTTAATGGACATCAGAGGATGAAGTTGAAAAAATCCTTTATTATATTCACAAATTTTTTTGGATGTCTTCATGTGTTTCTGTAGCTTAAGTTACATAAGTAGCTAACGCATTTTATCGCAGCTGACTTTCTTCCAATATGTTGATGAGTGCATAATTGTTGCGTATACTTCATGATGGACTAAATTAAATCAGAATGGTGTTATATAATCTGGTAGCCTCAGTATTGCCTCTCTGCTTTTTGTAGACGATATGGTACTGTTAGCTTCTTCAAGGTGCGAGCTCCAACTCTCAGTGGTGCGGTTCGCAGCAGAATGTGAAGCGCTTGGGAAGAAAATCAGCACCCTTAAATTGTCCTCGGTCGGAAATGGGTGGAGTGCCCTCTCCGGGTCGGAGATGGTATCTTTGCCCCAAGTGGAGGATCTTAAGTATCTTGGGGTCTTGTTCACGAGTGAGGGCAGGATGGAGCGCGAAATCGACAGTCGGACCGGTGTAAGCGTCTGCAGTGAGGCGGACTCTGTATCGGTGTGACATGGTGAAGAAGGAGCTGAGCCGAAAGGCAAAACTCTCGATTTACCGGTTGATCTACATCCCTACCCTCACCGATGGTCACTCGCTGTGAGTTGTGACCGAAAGAACAAGATCCTGGATACAAGCGTCCGAGATGAGTTTCCTCCGCAGGTTGTCCGGGCTCTCCCTTAGAGATAAGGTGAGAAGTTTGGTCATCCTGCAGGGGTCTCAGAGTTTGGCCGCTGCTCCTCCACGTCGAGAGCAGCCAGATGAGGTGGCTTGGGCTCAAGCTGCTTCCCCTGCGACCTGACCCCAGATAGGCGGGGTAGAACGGATGGATGGTTTTATCCATGTATCACTTATGACAGAGCGATAGTTTTGGTTTTAACATGTTGCTTAATGTATTTGTTTAGATTTAACAAAGGAGGGACACCATATCATTTTTAAAGTACACAGAAAGCAATGCTAAAAACTTTCATAAATATGTCAATATTTTGCCACCTGCCGAGGTAAGTGGTCAAAATGTACAGTATAAATTCAGTTTGTTGGGATTTGTGGTTTTGAGTCGGTGCCATTCTTATGTGACCGTTGACCATAGCCGATTGTATGTCGCAGATGAGTCTTATTTTGAAGTATAAAAAAATAGTTTTGACCAAGTTTGGCACCGCGCGTTACGAGTTCTGTGACGGAAATCGGAAATTCGCTCCGGATTGTTAAGGCAAGTGGCAGCAAAAACAAAACAAAACAAAACAAATTTCTGACACTGAATTCCCAAGAATGGCAGGGTTTCCGGATTTTGGTGGTTATATTTGAGGCACCTTTTGGAATAATAATCATAATAATAATTGGCGAGTGTGACTGGAGGCACCACGAGTGAACCACAAAGCCAAAACCTCACTTTTTGTTCTGCTGGTGGATCAGTACAATGAGAAAATAAATAAAATCTTTGGGATATTTTGAGTGGTAGGATGTAGACTCACGTGTGAGGTGTAGTGTCTCGATCGCAACAGGGATACCGGAATAGGAACGTAAATAATAGACCAAAGAAAAGAGTACAATATTCCCCCTTATGTCTTTGAATTTGTTTTTGGAACCAATCATCTCTTATCTGCTGAAAAACTCACAATCGCTGTTTTTGTGCTCAGGCCAAAGCCACGTTTCATATAAAAATATTGCTTTGGTGCCAAAGAACTATGTTGAAGTGAGGGGAAGCTTTATGTAGTCAAGCCATAGCCCTGTCTAATAGACAAGTCGAGCTTTAACGCCATCTTGTGGCATCAATCGGCGATTCTAAAGCTTTTTAGAGGTGCGTCAATTACAACGGACGTCAGCTTATTTGCAGCAGGGCTCGGTCCTCGTATCCACGGGGGAACACTACAATTCAAATTCTCTGATGCCAAAGTCAGTGTACAAAGTATAAAGTACCTGCATATGTGATACATATATGTTCAGCTATAAAACAAAAACAGAAAATAAAAGGCCCCCTGAAAAGGAGTACTGTCTCTTGCCCGGAAATTGAGCGTGGAGAGACGAGACAAGTGTCTGCCTTTCGGGGGAGCTTATCTTCCCAGGCCTCTTAGAAAATGCACCAGTTTTTCTTGACTTTTTGGCTTATTTCAGTTCCAGGAATTGTCAGGCGAACAAGCAAACCCTCAGCGGTTCGTCCCTGTCCTTCCCTGTGCTTGCGTTGGTTTCTGTTTTATTACATTCGTCCTTTCAGCTGAGGGCCTTATGTCGGCCCCCGCAGCAACCGCATGCTAGGCCTGCCCGGTGACATGCATTCAGCGGCGGGTACAAGCAGAGGCAGGGTGCCACCAGAGACAAACCCAGCAGGGCCAGCCAGCGCGTGCCCAGCCGGCCGCCCTCACCCCCGTCGCAGGAGCACGGATCCGAGTAGTCTCCTTCCGGGTCAGACATGCAGTGGTAGAGCATGGTGTCCGCCAGCCACATGCAGCTGACCCGCCGGACGCAGCCCCGCACAGGGTCCGGAGCGTCCTGGCACCGGCCCCGCCTATTCTCGGCCACCAAGAAGGCCTCACCACAGTGCTCGCAGTGGGCCCGCTCCAGGCCGTCCTCCTTGCGGCCCTTCACCCCGTTGGTGGACAAGGACGAGCTTGGCAGGAAGGACCGAGGCTGTGTGGAGACCACGGAAAAGCCCTGGCGGTAGGACCCGCCGTGGTGGCCCTTAACGGCAAAGGGTCCAAGAGCTGGGTCCGAGTCTGAGGGCACCAGGGCGGGCGCCAACGGGTACGTGTAGTCGTGCTTCTGTGCCTCTGTCTTGGCAAAGTGGACGTAGGATTCTGTCTCATCCATCTGGATGAACTTGTCGCGCATGGTGGCGTGGCGGTAGTCCTCGTAGCCCGTGAGCCAGGAGCGGTCTGACGGGCGCGCGTGGAGCCGCTCGCTGACGCGGTCACTCGCTCGCTCCCAACTGCGCTCGCGCGGGTTGATGCGCACGATTTCCTCGTCCTCCTGAAAGGTGACATGGGGAAGCCGGGACAAAGGCTGTGGAAAGAGAGAATACTTCAACCCAGTGATTCTCAACTGTTCGATCAGGACCCAAAAGTGGTCCTCAGTCGAACACAAGCTCTTTAGATTGTTCTGTAGACGATTGGAACAAAATTCCAACCTGGTCCAGCAGGTAGTGGTCCGAGAGCCGGTATGATTCATGGAGGTTGTGACGATATCCCAGCATGCACCTGTGCCTCTGCGGAAGAGGCGAGGACTCGAGCGGCGGCAGGCAGCTCTCCAGCTTCTGGGAAGAGGAGTTGGACGAGCTGTCGGTGGCGTTCTAAGGAAGGGGGGAGGACGACGACAAACAAACACAGGATGCGTCTGAGAGAAGCTCTGTCATTGGACGCAGAAAAAAAAAAAAACAATAACAACAACAAAAAAACGCTGTCGCCGGGTGGGGGATGTCGCGATTTGACAAGCAAAAACAGGAAGGCTCCACTCTGATTGGGGAAAAACAGGAAAGGACAGCTTTTGTTTTTCAGTCCTTGGCTTCCTCATTTGGAAACGGGGGCAAACATTTCAACGCATCTGCCCGCCAACGGAACCGTGAAACCAAGCAGGTAGTTCTTAATGGCTCGAGGGACGGATGCACAACACTGATGTATGTGGTTACCATGGCAATGGAATCAAAGGCTTTTGGAGTAGCGCCTATCGCATTTTGTCCAGCCCTTGTCCTCACTCAGGTCGCGGGTGAGCTGGAGCATGTTACTAAATCGTTTAACCCTCCTGTCGAGCCGCACCCGGGCTTTGAACGCGTACCACCACCTGTCACCAGATGGAAGTTGAGTACGCTAACTGATGAGCTAAAATCCTGGGCCGCTAACTCAGTGGCCATTGACACTGTTGCTGATTACGAGGAGTGACGTTCAACTAACGTAGCGTCGCGCAGCACGAGCTGGCATTCATTTAAACCTTTTGGGATCAAAATCATCAACGCAGACGTGATATTGTACTCCTATAAGCCCTTTCTCCAACTTGTTTTTGTATTTTTATAATTGTCACAATCGCAAAAGATTAGCACGAAAGTCGAGTGTTTTGCCTGACATGTTTCTTTTTACAAAAAGCTAATTCTCTCCACTTTTTGGTCAGTTATGTTTTATTGCTGATTACCAAAGGAGCGACAAAGCTAGAAACATTTTTTTTCTGGTGAAAGAACTCTCTCTTCTGGTATGTTCAGTGCTTCTGTTGCCAACGAAGACAATATCCTGTGCATCTTAAAAGCTCAGTCGTCATGCACTACAATGGATATATAATACTAGCATACTTCTACTGCTGGCAGGGAATGAGTTAAACGCCTCTGTCAACAATGGTTAGGCTATCTATTAGCAGGACATCCGATTTGGGGTCAAATCTCTTTAAAAAGGCAAAAAGCTCATTCAGTTGACAAATGGCTTTGGCCGGGATTAGCCCGGGCTGACATTCCCCCGCAGCTCTCTGGAGGATTGTTCTCATGATAGGGAATTCCCTACGGAAGCCTGCTGAGAAAGCCACCACGGTGCCCTCCAGTCAATCCAAAAAAAACCCCCAAAAAAAACAAAAACAAAACCTAGAAAATATTTTTTTTCAAATACGATTCCAACTGTCTTGACTCTCGAGTCCTCAGTGTCGTTGGGTTCGCATGTTCGATCCACTTTACATGTTCACATCACGCATATCCTGACAGCTTTTCTTCCCTTTCTGCCAAAAGACTGTCAGGGCGCCGCTCCAAGTCAAATCTTGGCCAGACACCGCACACGTCTGGCCATGCAGCACGCGGGCCGATCGATTTCAGACAGGCACACGAGGGGTCAGCCTCAGCAGTCGCAGGCATGTAGGGGGCCTCGCCGTGTCCCAGCTGACGGGAACGTGTTTGGGGGATGCGATCTGTACGACCAAATTTCGTGACAGGTAATAAGGTATTAGGATTTGTCAGTTTTAGGTTTTTGGGGTCGAGGAATTTGGTACTGTTCAAGTCAAAAACACTGTCCAGGTCCATATTGTCCCGCATCCAGCAGTTTTGCCTGAAGTTTTCTGTAATCTTTTCCAGAAAATGTGTGTGCGAAGCAAAACCCTCGGAAAACATGTTAGCTTAAATGTCAACTGTGAAATGAGTTTTGGAAATCCAAAACCTTGATACATTTGTGACTATTGATGCTATTCGTGAGGCCATCTTGTGTTTTGCATTCTGTGTTAGCATCGAGATAGAGGAAAGCACAGTTGTGGTTGTTTTGAAAATGCGTAATTCTCTTTGTTTTATGTTTAGTTTGACAGTGACCTTTAACTGTGAGAGGCAAGCCAAATTTTTTTTAAAGAGTTGTTCACCATCCACCAAATTGCCACTTGTGGCGACGTGTGTTGATTTCAATGACCGTTAAGTGCTCGTGTCTCAAATGTAACAAAATCGCCCGAACGATAAGGCACCTCTATTTTAGCAGGGCTTATTTGCGACTATCCAATAAAAGCGACTATCTTTAAAACAATGTTTCTCGCATTACACATCTGTTTTAGCCATGGTGTCATTTTCACCCCTCGGAAGTTATTCCTAAGAATGATCGCACGGACAAACTGTTCACCTCGAGCGCTTTGATCCCGTCCATCTGGCAAACGGCGAGGCCTGAACTCTATGAATTATTTGCCAGATTTATATGACCCAGTTATGTTTGTGTGCATGAAGCCATACCCGTTATATCCTGGACGCGTTCCTGAGCAGCGCTCCCCACACGGATACAGCCATGCTGAGAATTCTACCCCCCCCTTCTTTGCTTTCTTACAAAGCCCTTGCAGAGCAGACGGCCAAAAATAACAAAACATACCGCCTGTACTCTGGCCTGCGAGGCCGCGACTAATTCAAAACAGGATCGGAGCGCTTACTCTGCGAGCAAGTTTAAGAGTTTCTTTCTGGACTCTTTCCTCCAATTTCCAATTCTGGATACTTCCGAGTTAGTTTCCAGGCTTTTGTGTTGCCCTCCTGAGACGAACCCAGAATTGACCCCCCCCCCCCAACCCTCTCTGTCGCATCCACTGTTACGAACAAGCCAAAATAGAGACAGCGAGACAGACGAGACGTTCTGAAAGGGAGGAGGAGTACGAGGAGGAGGAATCTTTAGGGAAGTATGCCCCCCTCTCCCCGTCCTCCGATGACTGTAAATCTGCTGCCGCATTTTGCGCCGTCCGCGACTGCACGCTTGGCGAGCCCTGCCTCCACGCCGCTAACTTTGGGAGAGGTCATTAACAGAGGCTAAAAGCAACAGCAGATAGGTCAACAAAATTGAAAATATCACATTATGGTGTTCCTCCGCATTATTGCGGTTCATCGTTAGCAACTGGACGACATCACATTCGGGTTCAAGTAGCAGTTGTTTAAAGATTTACAGACACTTAATAATCTATGAATGCTAATTTCTATTAGCCTGTCTACGATGCTTTTGAGCTGTATGTGCTACCAGAAACTAAAATTATATTTAAATTTCCTTTCCTCTTAAAAAATGAATTTGAATCAGCAGTTTGAATTTGTGTTAATTTGTATCGCTTCGTTGAAAAACTAAAACCAAATAGTGACATTTTGAAATGGATTTGATTAGTTTGGAACTGAAGTCCAATAAACTTGAAACTGAAGGTAAGACAATGAGATCTAAATTTGTTCCTCACTGAAAATTCATCTACCGGTATATATTTTCACATTCCGTTCTCAAAATTCAATTTCAATGTAGTAGTTTTTAGGTAGTTGAGGAAAAGTAATCAGGTGAGGATACACAGGTCTGTTCTTCGGCCAATCGGCGCTTGCATTTAAGCACGTAACAACCTGTAGGTGCCATTTGAGTTGCCACCCAACCATGTGCTTGGCCAAGAGACTGTTTTGACCACGAATGACGCTGGAACAAATAGTGATGGACTGCGTACAGCATTTCAAACAAAGATGTATTTTGTTGAGATTTATTCCCTCAGCAATATCACACAAGAGGGATTGATGTTGGACAGTACTCACCAAGCTTTTTGAAATTGATTCCGTTTTTGGTTCGGCCATTTTCCCCCCCCAAAGCAAAAACAGATGTTTGCAAATGTTTTATTTCTATTAAACACAAAAGACAATCGTTTTACTTCTATGAAGGACGACAGAAATCAGAGAATAATTACTGTTGAGACACTGACATCAGAGGACAATTTAAAGTGAAAAAATGATGCATGAAAGATTTCAGTATTTTGGATGGCTGGAACGAATTAAGAGCATTTCATTACATTTCTATGGGCAAAATTGATTTGATGTGAGGAAATGCGCTTGCTCAGAAAACAAAAATAAACTTAAGTTAACTTAGTTAAGGAAGCACTGTATGTCCCCTTTAAAAATGCAGTACAATCGTTAAATGCATTGATCTTCCAAGACAATTTTTTTTTTTTTTACCAAATCCAAGTGTTGTGGGGTCCCTTGACAGCTCTGTAGAAGCCTCTCTCGGCCTCTTTGGGTGTTTGTGTGCATCTCTGCGGTGGCGGTACACTCCCAGCAGAGCACCTATTAGTCTTGGCCGTCGTAGACAGCCAGAGTCCAAAAGATGAACCCACGAGGCACTTCCTCTCATAAATCAGCCGCCCCGCACTAAGCTGGGAAACAGCTGCGAGCCGCTCGTTTGCACGCTGCCGCTCTCTTTTTAAGCCGCCGGGGTGGGTGGAGGGGAGGCTTGAATGGTGGTGGTGGTGGGGCAGAGGGGGGTAAAGAGGAGGCGGTAGGATACAGGAAGTAACCTTCTGACCTTGCCTGCTGCTCTCTGTGTCAGGTTACAGGGAGGTGGGGGGAGGGGAGGGACCCTCTCAAGCACTTTTTATTTTAAATACTCCAAACAGCTCTGGTGTTTCCCCATAGTTAAACGAAAAGAAAACACTTACGGTGAAGACGTCGTCGTCGCCCAGCTCGCCCTCGTTCTGGAGTGCTGTAGAGGAGGTCGTGGAACCTGGGAGGGTGGGGGGGGGGGGATGAAGAAGAAGGGCCTTGAGTTTGACACCAGTCGTTCACGGCTTCCTGCAAAGCTTCAATTTGCAAACCTAGTTCCAATCAAGTTAGTTTGGAAGCCACTCTATTGGGACAATAGCAACAGGGCATTTCACCATTTGCAGTTAGAAAAGCTTTGAGACTCCCCTGGGAAGACTTTGCGCACTGGGAACAAAAAAGGGCCTTTCCCCCAAAAGGTTCCCACAAAGTATCCGGTTGTGCAAAAATGTCAAAAAGCCAAAAGAGTCAGGGACATCTGAGAGGGTTGTTCATTACACTTCGAATGTAGCATATTTACACTGATTGGAATTTTAATTGTTTCTGCTGTAGCTTGGTTTTACTGTGGGTGTTTTGGGGCGGAACGTGGCCACTTATATTGGCAGATGTCAAATATGTGTCAGATTTGTGTGTGTTTTTTTTCTTTTTGGAAGAGTCCTGCTTTTGGTCTGAGGATATCCAATTATTATTATTATTTTAATTTTTTTTTACATCGCCATGCGTCCCAAATGCGTCATTCCGGAGGGGGAAAAAAACCCCAAACAAAAACAAAACTTCTGAATTGCGTCATTCGAACCATGCAATGTAATTCCAGCCTGAAGCGCATGCAGTCCAATCCCTGCTTGACTAATTGATGAAGAAATCTTCGGCTTTCACTAGACCACGCCAGCGGATCCTGAAAAAGTCTTAATTGCCCTTCTACTTGGTCACTTTTGTTATGGTCGCAGACATGCAAAAAGTCCTGCTTCACAAAGAGAGGATGTTGCAAACTGACAATTTTTTAAATTGAAAATATACTCTTCTTCTTATCTTATTATTTGGGCTTTTTCAACAAACCTCTCCAAAGACGTTCGTTTTTTTTTATTTTTTTTACTAAGGCCATCAATCGATTACAATTTTAACATGTTTGGGCGTTGATTTTGACAGCCCAAATTGTACTTATTTCTGCAAACGAATCAAATGTCAAATTGTTCCGGGGACCGCTGCTTCAGGCCACATCTTGACAAGAACAAGCACGTACAGGGGACACTCGGTTTACAATGGAGTTTCATCTCTGTAACAATCTAACCGATGCTAACGCGATAGTAGACCACCAGCTATTCATTATCCGATCCCCACCTAGTCAAAAATCGAAAAAATAAAATAAAATAGTGAGTATATTGTTTAGCGAGCATGCCTTTTTGTGTCGGGCGACCAGATTGAACGCTAAATGTTGTTAACACGTGTTAGTGGTAAAGGCGCAACGTACCTTCCGCCAAGTCCTCGATGGCTTTCCGCACCCCCCTGTCGAAAGCCCTGGCGTCGGCGGGACTTTGAAAGGACAGACCACACCTCCGGTCTTCCACCTTCCAGTGGTGAAAAGTGGGCGTGGCAATGGTGTAGACCAAGTCCTTCCTTAACGGACAGTCCATTATTACCTGCCAATCAGATGGAAAAAATAAATAAACAAACAAACAAACACACATTTTGTCTTTAAAAATCACGAAATAAAAAACACCCGTCACCAGTTTGTCCCGTATCCGCTCGCCCCGGATGAGGAACTGGCAACTGCCAGAGGGTGGTAGCTGGGGTAGCTCGGGCGGCCGCAGGCGGCAGACCCCCACCCTACTGAGGGCGCCCCCATCCTGGGCCAGCCAGCCTCCACTCGAGTCGTCCCGCGTCATGACCACCGCTTTCACACGCACGATGTAGCTGTCACTGCAACATAACAAGAAGAACGGTTAGGCACTTGGCCCGCTTGTTCAGCTATTGCAACGTTTGCTTGGAACTACAATGATAAGTGCGGTAATACTGTCCCACAGGGGTGTGCCAAAATGCAAAGAGCCACTACAGATTTGAGTCATTTCGAGAAGTTTAAATGTCTAAAGCTTGTTGAAAAACTATTAACCGAAAAAAAAAATTTTGTCTTGTCTCATATCGTGGCTTTTCACCTGTCGTGGGTGAGTCTGGAACGTATCACCGCGATACACGGGGGTTCATTGAATCATCTTTTCCTGGCCTCGCGTTTGCTTTCCAGTTTGCACACATCGGCAGAATGTTTGAGGGCGTCTGCAGTCACGACTTTGCCTCGTCCTGGCTCTAACGATGTGGGAGGTGTTGTGCACACATGCACACACATCCATAAGTCACCATTTTTTAATGAACTTAAAGCAGCGTTCTGAATTGCTCCTAAATGGTGACATTTTGATCCTAAAATTTGACACGGTGCAAGTAAAGTATCTTTCGGGATGAAACGTTTCGATAATGCAATCATGAAGTTCTTATCAATTCCCATCCTGGTCGGGTGGTCAGAACAAAACTTGTTCAAGCAACTTCAGATGAACAAAACCCATCAGTGAGCGATCTGCGCAAACTAATGCATTTGATAATCGGCATCTATGGCAAATATTTTATTTACATTCATATTTTTGTCATGTTAATTGATAAATACTAATTCTGAACTCCTCCTGATGGTGTTTGTGGCATAGTTGCATGCTGTTTTATTGTGCTTAGGTATAGTAGGGATGTTTACAATAATTGTGATGTGACAGCGCTAATATTAAAAGGGTGATAAGTCTGGTAAGTCCCCACTGAATGCCCAGGTACCAAATGTACTGTCTTTGACAATATTGAAATTCAGTTTTTGAAAAATTCAAGTCTTCATAATACTGTATGCACTCTAGTTTATGTGTGCTGATTTTAGGGACCCCCCTTGTACCAGTACAGTGGTTAGACTCTTTCTCCTTGGATAACAGCTACAAATTAAATCATTTCCTGTACAGGTAATTGACATTCTATCATTTTCTATGGATGTTTTTTTTCTGAGGGGGGAAAAGTTGAACAAAGATGTCAGTCAACCAGCGTCAAAGAATCCATTTCGGAGATTCCACTCAAAATGGCGCAAAAAAAAAAAGTCAACCGTTGTTCGACACGCAGACGGAAGAACCTGCGACAGTTTAGTCTACAGACTTCACCAGTACAAAACAAAAGAGTCGTCATGTTCCAACATATGACGGTCGCCACCCTCCGTGGGGACACAATGAGCTCGTTGCACTGATCTGACAACAACAGGAAGGAGTCTTTGTGTGCGTTCGTGCGGGTGTGTAAGTGTGTATCTTTAAAAAAATGAACATGTCAAGCGGTGGGTGGATCGACGCTTCACTGTTTGTCTGTCGACACACCGTCAGTCAGCCAGCCTGTCATTCAGTCACTTTTATGAATGTGCGTGGGTGGGGAGGGAGCCGCTCTACCGGTTTCGCCACCTGTGCGCTGTGTGTGTGTGTGTGTGTGTGTGTGTGGTGTGTGTGTGTGTGTGTGTGTGTGTGTGTGTGTGTGTGTGTGTGTGTGTGTGTGTGTGCGTGTGCGTGTGTGTGCGCGCGCGCGCGCGCCCGCGCATAGATGCGTCAAATCCGCCGCACTGTCTGTAAGCTAATTATATAACATCACCCCTCCGTTCTGCACCTCCCTTTCCCTCTTCTTCTCTCGCTCGTTCGCCCACAGACACATCTGTATTTCCATTCTCGTCCATTGACATATACAGTAGCGCCCCCCCCCCCCGCCCCCCGATCCCGAAACCTTAACTGAGGCTGTCTTCAGTCATAACAACAGGTCGTATAAATAGCTTGGGACGGGTTAGCCAGAAAAACGCATCAAGTTATCGAATAAATGCTTCATCTGTCTCTTTTTTTGGAAGATCCATTTTGGTTAGTTCACCGATGCAGTTTTCAGTTATTTATTGAACAGTAGAATCCAAACACAACTCATTTCACGTTATACTGAAGCCTTTTGGGGCATATAGTTATTTTGCCTTTTCTAGAAACCCCCCCCAACTACTTTTGCCTTGTCATTGCCTAAAACGTCTCATCATTCAGCGGGCACAGTGCCACCTGTTGCTCGACATCCTGGCATTTTGAAACCTTGCTGTGACAAAGACTGCTCAGTTTTGATCGTTGTCAGGAGCTGTATCAGGTGAAGCTACATGCCGCTGACTTTTGGTCGACTTGAAACACATGTGTGACAGTTTGGCCCCCCACACAGCCCACCCACATGCAGCAATAACAGCAAAAAAAAAAAAAAATCCAGACCTTTCTAAAAGCACACATGCTCCAAGATACACAATAGCAGCTATCAGCGCTACCGGTGATGTGGAAATGTCACGTTTCGGTCTAGTCTTGTGACCCGTGTTTAAGAGCCCCCGTCTGCTGACAGGCCCTGTAATCTGCGGTGGGAAGAGCCACAAGCACTACTTTGATACGCACGGCGGCCACAGCATGTTCTGGACCAACATGCAGACAAACAGACAAGGATGCACGCAAACTTTTGCAGGGCTGGGAACTTAATTCTTTCCAGACGGATGTGATGAGCCCTTTGTGGAGTTTCTGGACCGTGTACAATTTATGAAAAGTTACGGTCAGGTTTCAAAGTAGAACTAATCCATTTCTGGCATCCAACTTTAGCCAGATAAGCAACTGTACAGGCAAAACTGCACGTAATATTTCAACATATAACATAAGTTCTTGATAAAAGTCAGAGCTAAAATACAGGAGTTTTGAATGACAAAATTACAGATATGACTGACATGTTTTTTTAACGTAAAAAGAAGCAAAAGGGGAATTTGCAATTTCAAAAGAATATTTTTTTTCATATCAGTTTAATATCCGCATGACCTCACGGTAATACATTAGTAAAATAATCTGTGAAAAAGACTTGCCACCGTGTAGCTCTAACGAGTTAAAAAAAAAACATCAGAAAAAAGCAACCGTTTTTTTTCATATCAGTTTAATATCCGCATGACCTCACAGTAATACATTAGTAAAATAATCTGTGAAAAAGAAGACTTGCCACCGTGTACCTCTAACTAGTTAAAAAAAACATCAGAAAAAAGCAACTGTTAAAAAAAAAAGCCAACAACAACAAAAACACTGCACCAGAAGAAAAACAAACAATCTGAGACACAGGGCGTAACTGATGCGTGCACACCCTCGCAGCCTTCACATTGACCAGTTAGTTTGGGCTCCAGGAGCTTTTCTAATCCTATTGCAGAATATCCACTTACAGAAAATTAATATGTGTGACTCATTGACAACAATCACGCTGATAAGAGAAAAGGCGATCTATGAATCACATCTTTGTATTTAATCAGCCTCCCTGTCATAAGGTTGAAGGTCAACCGGCATGATGAGTCTCTACCGCTAACATCCTCTTGCACCAGGCCACGATATGCACTTGCCATGACTTAGTTTGGACTAACATTAGTGAAATATATTGACCTTTTTGGTCACCATATT